TTGCTGCTTCCTATTGAAATTACAAAAGGTCTTGAAGAAAATAAAGGTAAACACCATTTGTGTTTTTTTCTTTGGTTATTTCATTTTTAATTAGATATGCAATCTTGTTCACCTGTTTTGTTTTAAATTTATTTTTCACACTATTATTTAGAATTAGGTAAGATTAATTTGCAATAAATCCATACATCCAAGGAATGTGGATTAACTTTAATTTATTTATTTGCCTTTTAGAGGGAAGAGGAATCAAACGTCCAGTAGAGGATGATTATACATATGCTGCAGCTGAAAAAAAAGCAAAACTTGTTGAAGATATGAAGGTACCACCTTCAAGCTTTTGTAGATCATGTAAATGGGAAGAGGTTGTTCCTGTGATTTTCAATCATCGGCCTCATGATGCTGATATTCCTATCACTCTATATCATCAAGTATTTGCACATTTTCAGGAGTACTGTACCAATATTCATATCTCAATGGATGATTGTGACCTGGTAATAAAACTTATCACTCAAATGACAAAAGCTTTTGAGCGTGAGAATGATAGGGTGGCTGAATTTTTAAAATGGACATCTGAATATTTTGCTCACCCAGTTACAAAACTACCACTTCCACAAATTGGTCAAGAAGCTGATATTGGAGCTTGTCATTCTGTTGGAAATCATTCTTTCTGTCTTCTTATTGGTGAAGCTAAAAATAAAATTGGGGAAGGACATGGATGTTCATATATACAAGCATGTGCTTCATATGCTAAACAGATTGGTGCCAATACAAATAATACAATACGTAAAGGTCTCAACCCATCTTTTATTCTTTATCTCTCTGGTCCTTACCTGGGTATTGCTGGTGCTGTTTTTGGAAAAGATTTTACAATAGATCCTCTCACACATGTCCTGCCCCTTCTTTATTTAAAGAATGATCCAGAAATGATGGTTTCTATTACTCGTACTTTTAAGGCATTAAAAACTGTTCTTGGTGAGCTAAAAAATTATTATTCAGAATTTCAAGTAACACAACACATTGATAATTTAAGTCTTCAACGACCAGCCAGTTTTCCTTATCCTTCTTCATTTAAAATGGATGATAACCGTGATATCAAATTTATTTATAAAAATCAACTATGTGATGGTAAATTAGTTTTTAGGGTGCAAGGACAGAATGAAGAATTTAAAGATAAGTGGATGGTAGTGAAGTTCACACAAAAATATTGCAAAGAAGCTCACAAATTCTGTGAAAAAAAAGAAATTGCACCTGAACTTTTTGCACTTAATGATCTTTCTGGAAGTTGGAAAATGGTTGTCATGGAGTACCTTTCTGATGATGAGTACATTAACCTTTACAATCTTCTAAAAGAAAAAAAGGATAATCAGGAAGATTTACAACAAAAAACAATAAATGTTGCAAAACTCTTACATTCTGGAGATTATGTGCATGGTGATCTTCGAGCATCCAATATCATGGTTTCAACTGATATGAAGCATATAAAGATTATTGACTTTGATTGGAGTGGAAAAGTAGATCATGCTGTTTATCCACATTTTGTTAGTACATGCTTACCTTGGCATCCAGATGTTGACTGTGAAAAACCAATTGCTAAAGAACATGATTTACATCTTTTAAAGAAGTCTATAGAAAGTAATCCTTTTTAAAAATAACACATTTTTTATATTGCAAGCAATATAGTTTGACATTTCATTAATATATTTAATTCTTTTTTATTTTTTAAATTTTGGATTTAGATTTAGATTCTCATAATGTTATACTTAGTTAGATAGATATTATTTAGTGAAAGCAGAAAGGTATATAATTTACTTTTTAAAAATGAATAAAATGTATAATAATTCTTCATATTATATAAAAAAGTATTATTAAAAAATAAATGGATTTTTATGACTTAATATTTTTATCAAAATTGCTATGCTAAGATCAACAGAAATTATTTGCTAAAATAATTGAAAACCCTACAAAGTGAACATAAAATTATAAAATTATATATATATAGGGATAAGTGTATATGAAAAGTAATAATAAATATAATGGTTCTAATGAATATGAAAAAGCAATTGATTTTTTAGAAAAAGGTTGTGATTGTGGTTGCTCTTCAAGAATTCCCAAAGAACAATTTGCAGAGTTAAGGGAATCCTTTCAAGCTCTTTCTAAATCAGAACAAGACATATTTTTAATGGCCCAACTTAAAGCAATGGATGGTGGATCAATAAGCACTAGTAGACGCCTTAAAAAGAAAACCAGATCTCACAAAAGAACTTTCTATCATTGGGATCACAATACACCTCTTTGTCAAGAAACTTATCTCAATATGTTGGGAATTGGTAGGACTTATTTTGAAAATATCAGAAATCACCTGATTAATAATGGTCTTTTAGCAAGAGTTCATGGCAATATAAAGAAGATACCTCAATGAAAAACCAAAATGGTAATTGATAAGAATGTTGCAGAAGTAGTAAAGAATTTTCTTGAAAATTATGCAGAAGTCCATGGATTACCAAGCCCAGGCAGAAGTGTTAATAGAATAACTCAGTCAGTTATCTTTTTACCAGCTGAAATGAGTTATAAATCAGTGTATAGAGATTTTCTAGCTGGTCTGGAAGAAGATAACAAATTGAAATCCTTAAAATATGATGCATTTAGAAAACTATGACATCAATTAACACCAGAGATTCAAATTATGAGTCCAAGGACTGACTTGTGTGATACTTGTCAACATTTTCGAAATGGTTTACATTACAATGCTCGCCAAGAGGAAGAAGCTAAAGATTTACTCAAAAGATTTAAAGAACATCTGTCCAAGGCAAGATTAGAAAGAAACTATTATAATAAAAACACCAAATTAGCAGAAGAACAAAGGAAATTAGTTAATCAAAATTATTCAAAGGGTAAAACACCATATTGCAGTATTGATGCTACTGCTCATTATAGTTATGATTGAGCTCAAAATGTTCATGTACCACATTTTGATCAACAGGCAAGTAAAATTTATTACCTTAGTCCACATAAAGTCCATTTATTTGGCATTCAAGATGAAGCAGTAAGGGAACAAATTAATTATGTTCTTAATGAAGATGAAATTATAGGTAAAGGTCCTAATGGAACTCTTAGTATGATTTTTGATGGGATTAAGAAATTGAATAAGGGTGAAAAGTATTTAAAGATTACTTGTGATAATGCCGGTGGGCAAAATAAAAATAATGTAACTATTTGATTTTATTTATATTTAGTAATTTGTGGTTATTATGAAATTCTTGGTAATACCAATGTTCACTTTGTCTGGTTTTGTTGCAGTATGCCCCATATTATATTATTACATTCAGAACTTAAGCTCCTTTATACACCAAGACTATAATATTTACAATAACATCAAATGCCAGTATTTATTAATATTTGAGAAAGAGAAGATAAAAATCATTAATAAAACTTACTATTATTTATTTATTATATAGTTATTATCTATCTCTATTATTAATTGAAACAGTCTCACTTTGAATTAGATAATTTCTTAAATAAATATTAATTGAGTTAATTTTGGGTCTTTGCCATATTAACAATAAAATAAAATAGAATTTTGTAAAAATCATCTTTAAGAATCGTAAATAAACAATAAAACGTCGTTTTTTTTTTTATTTTATTTTTCGTTTAAAGCAATTGCGTGGGTCATTAGCAAAAGGCCACACTTTATTTGTTTAGCAAGCAAAAGTTATGACAGCGTTGGGTAACTAGTGAGCGATTGGTAAATGTTTATATGCTTTAGTGAGCAAGCAAAGGTTTGGATTGGGTTGGGTAACTAGTGAATATTAACGACGGTTATTTGCTTTAGTGAGTAAGCAAATAGTAGTGGTGGTATCATCGTAATCAAAAACGTAAGCAAGCTGCTCAGGTTGTTTTGTAAATAAACCAAAGCGAGGTTACAATCGGCCCAATAGAATAAACAAGTGTGAACGACTAAAAAATGAATTGGTCAAAGTAAATAAAAAGAAAATTTATAGAGAGACCTTTGAACTTTGTAAAAGGGCCATCTTTATTTACTTTTTGACTTTAAAATTATTGAGGAAACCAATTTTTTTTCAATAATTTAAATTCCCATTTTTTCTATTAAAAAAAGATGCCATATCATATCTTAACAAAAATACATTGCGGTAAGGTCCCGCTTTAACTGCAATTCACTTTTTAGCATTCGAATTATTTGTAAAGTATAAATCTTTATTCAAATGAAACGATGAGATTAATGAATCAATTGTAATAAATTGTTTTTTTCTTTGATAGTCATCGTCCTGGAGATGTGATGAACAAACCGAATAATTACATCATTATTACGCAATATGTAGACGCCGGATTATAAGATAGGCAATCCCTAAAGCTGTGCATTGATATTTTACTTATTTAAACATGATTCTTAATTATTATGGCAATGACGAGAGGGAAGGGACACGATTATTCAGTTTAAATGATGATCATATGACAATGATTTTTGGATCAAGTCAAAGTCAGAAAACATTTTTCCAGCATTGATGATCGATGAACAACATCAGTGTTGAGTTATGAATGGATACAATTAAGGAAATACTGAAAAAAAACAGAAATCGCCTCTTGGAAACAAAACAAGTATTATTCTTATGGTATTTTTATCAACCAATGCATTATTTTATTTATCAAGTGATTGATGAATGATTTATTATTGTTTTTACTATAAAAAACTCGAATTCAAATCTCTATAAAAAGGAAACATGAATTATTTATTATTAGATTTTTCCAAGTAATATAAACAAACTGAGGAAAATAAAATTCATCAATATTAATATCCAAGCAATTCAACACACAATTATATAGTATTGTATTAGCATTAGATTCACATGGCACTCGTATTACGACCGTTTTTAACCTAACTAAAATTTTATTCATAATTCGATGTTACGCCATATTAATTTTGGGAAAATTTTTTAGATATAGTTTTAAATATAGTAAAAAATAATCAAATTGGTAATGTGTGGGTCATGACGCGGGGTTTATATTATTTATCTAATGATGGTAATGGTAAGCCATCTTTGGTAAAGAAATTAAACCATCTTTACAGAAGGATCATTATATAAAGAGTCTGTTGAGCGAGCAAAAAAAAAAAAAAAAATTTAAAAAACGAAAATGAACAAATTATTGTTTAGCGGTTTTTTTTTCTTGTTCGTTTTTCCAATTATCATTTGCTCATTTCCATCACCTTCATTGGTAAAGAGAGCATTTACATCATGTGATGGCACTTTTCCAATTACCTTTACCAAATACACCGTTACTCCTGACCCAGTTGTTCTAGGTGAATCTGCCACCACAAACATCGAAGGCACAAATACAGAGACCATAGAAACGGGCACTTTATTTGAATTTATTACTAGTTTCGAAGGAGAAGTAAAAAATACTACAACTGCTGATTTTTGTACAACATTAAATTTAACATGTCCATACGAAGCTGGAACCTTCACATATACAAACACTACAGTCGTTCCGGCCGACCCTTCCACGCCTAAAGGCCAAACAATTAAACTTGATATCGTTATTAATGGTACGTTATTATTATTTATCTAAATTAGTCGTTTGTTAGCCTACTCTGTTTTGTTTATATGCTAAATAATATATTTGACAATTGCTATTTAGTTCTTAAACCCGATGGAAAGACTAAAATAGGGTGTGAACAAGGATCAATTAATATTATTACATAAATTAAAACTTCATTCAATCATTTCTTTTTTTATGTATATGTATTAGTATTTATGTATACACCAACTATTAATTATAATTATAATTAGAAAATAGTTGTATAATGTCAATAATAAACTGACAACTAAATAGCATATAATTTTATTAATCGTAAGTATATATTTTCATGAAACTCTGCCTCAATATCATCCTGGTCCAATTTTGAACAGAATGTATCTATTCTTCCCTTGTCTACATTACACACAATATTTGTTTTTATATAACTAGGGTTTGTATTCACGGATACCATGAATACCGTTAAGGGGGTTAACACACTAATAAATCAGCAAAAAATCCCTTAAAAACACTTGATTTTAATAGTGTGACCTCCTTACGGTATCCGTGAATACAAACCCTAATACTAAATATAACAACCCTGTCACTATATTAATATTGTGTCCTTATTTTTTTTTTACTTGGCCTTTCAATTAATTATATTATTATGTTCCACCACATTAACTGTGCGCGTTTTTGTGGATAAAAATTGATTATATAAAGTGAGAGAAAGAGACCTTGACAATAAAATCAATAAATAATAACAATAAAATAAAAAATAAAATCGAAAATGAACAAATTATTGTTTAGCATTTACTTTTTCTTGTTCGTTTTTCCAGTTATCATTTACACATTTCCCTCACCTTCATTGGTAAAGAGAGCTTTTACACCATGCGAAGGCACTTTTCCAATTACCTTTAGTAAATACGAATATACCCCTGATCCAATTACTGTGGGTAGTCCTGTCACCGTAACCGTCGAAGGCGCGAGCACGATTCCCATAGACCCACTGGCTATACTTCGAGCCACTGTTACTATTGAAGGTGTAAATATTACCGCCGACGTGCCTTTTTGTACAACATATAATCTACAATGTCCACTTGCACCAGGACCTTTCTCATATACAAATACCACAGACATTCCAACCGTTACTGGTGGCTTGAGCAAAACTGTTGTAATTGATCAGATTCTTAATGGTATGGTATTATTTTATTATTTCTCTATATTGGTCCATTTGTTGACTTGTTTGTTCAAATACTAAAATATCAACAATTACTATTTAGTTATTGCTCCTGATAACGTAACTACAATAGGGTGTGTGCAAGGAAGCATATCTGTCTATTTTCCTTAAATCTTTTTTTCAATTTATGAATTAAAAAAAATCAATATTTCATTCGTTAATGTAAATTTTTTTCTATATATTAATTAATATACATTAACCTAGTTATGCACATTAATAAAAATATATTATACATCTCGATAATAAACCATGCATTTTTGCCCCCCAAAAAAAAATCACAATTGACTAGAACATTTTCCATGTTTCAATTTATTTTGCATAATGCTTAAAATATTCAGATAGAGCCTCCTCTAAAAGAGTAATAGCAACAACCAATGACTTCTGATTTTTCAATTTCGTGGCATTCATTACCAGAATTTCCATTATTATTATTGATCTGCTATCAAAAATCGAGGAAGTTGTCAAAACTAGTTTGAAGAGATAAAAGTCAAAACTAAATTAAAAGTTATATTTCAAAACTATATCAAAAGTCAAAAGCCAAAAGTCAAAGGCAAGTTTTCGAATTTCACGCTCTATAGCTAGTTTTGGAAACCAACACTAATCGAGAATTATAGATTAGACTTTTCGCCACGTTTTGCCAATTCTTCGATATGAAGCTCTAATCCACATACAGGAACTTACAACCGATTCTTTGGTGTTAAAACTACAAAGAAATAAGGAATCTACATTAAACAATCATATATTTACATAAAGTAGCAATAAATTTATTGGATGAAGTCACGTGATGATTAATGCGTGTAAAAAAGAATCAATCCACAGTAACTTTGTTATTTTTAATTAATTTTCTAGTGAGGGAAACATTTTAAATGTATATTGATTGCCGTTGTTTGTAATCAATAAATGCAAAGAATCTATATATATTAGACAATTGTCCTTTTTTATTGATATTGAAATCAATCTCCGGTAAAATTAACAGTCAATCAGCATTTTACTTTTACATGTACAATTTCAGTCAGGGAAATCACTTTGTCGATCAATCAATTAATGTTAATAATAAACATTAGTACATATTAATATTAATACACACAAGTCGGACGCAAGCAATCAATTGTTGATAATATAAATAAAATGACCGACTTATCAGATCGAGTTTACATGTGTATTACTATTATTATTATTAGTTAATCCCTGCAAACTGTTTCAATTGTTTTTACAATAGCCATTGGTTGCGCTTACGTTCAGATAATAATTGTCGCTTCTTATAGTTTACTTTTTATAGTATTAGTAAAAGAATTTCAAATTGTTTATTGGCAACATAAAACCTCTTGTTATATCCTTTGTTGCACGGGAAATAATTGATAACTCTAGAGGTTGCACCCAATGAATGATATTCAGTGAATATTTGGCTAATAAGATATTTGACTTTTTTCATTCAAATATAAAAAAAAAAATGAATATTCACCGAATAATGGACTGTTTTTAATCCACTTTTTATTTGAAAAGATTGTTTTTTTGTAAAAAAAAATTTTTGATAATTCTGATAAAATGTAAAATTGATTAAATAAATTTAAATTTTTTTGTTAACAATGAATATTTACTGAATATTCACTGAAAAAACGAATGAATATTCAGTATCAAATCTTTTATAGTGAACGTACACATCATATTACTTGTATTATTTGATTCTCCGACATTAAAATTATTTTTTCCTTAAAATTCAAAAATTCTTATATTAATTAAAGTAATGATTATGACTCTACAAGTTTTATAATAGCAACTAATTCTGAAATTAAAGGGCTCATAAACAAAAGCCAAGTGCCAAATACTTTATCAAACACAAATATGTTTAAAGAAAAGATTAGGTACTAAGACGTATTTTGATGAAGTATTAATTTTGATTCAAAGAAACCATTTCGTGTTTTACTTGAGAGAGAGAGCTGGACTAATTTGATATAACTCTTCACAACCACAAATACTCGTTCAAAATTGCCCTAATTCTAAGATAGAAATCAAAAATTCACCTTTAAATTAAAAATCGTCATCATCATCATGTTATTTGATAGATTTATATATGCATACTTATATTGTATTTATGTTGATAATTTCTATAAGTAGTGATCAGGATATAATCGTGACATTTTTTGTATGGGAGTCAGAAAATAATGACATAATAATCGTTCAAAGTACGCCTTTTCTAGATTTATGTATGTGTATATGCCATGAGTTCAAATTAGTCAGTGCTTATTTGCGAAATATTATATATTTTTGAATTACCCAGAACCTATTGCTACTACTATTGAATGTGGAATTGTGATTCGATGAATTTCTGCGGCGTTTAAATCATTATTTCTCTCAAGCTTTGCCTATTTTATTTCAATTCCGTTTGATTCTTCCATATAATCTTGTCACCTATCACTATTGTTATTATTCTCACTTTATAATACAGTACATCTCGGTTTTGGGCAATTTGAATATTAATATCTTTTCAAAAATCCGTTATATCAATGCCAAGAACTTTATTATTATTATTATTATCATTATTTGTTATTATTAAACCGTTCTTGGACCCCAGTCCATTAAATCAAGATTTTAATATCCGTTGGATCGAGGTATGCTAAATCGAGAACTACAACTATTATTATCACTACAAATACTACAAAGAAAAAATTAATATCATTCGTTTTATTCGAATTGTTTGTTTTATTCGAATAGAAATTTTAACATGTTTCCATAAAGCCAACAGATTTGGCCATTATCAACAAATTTAACGAAACACATAAAAGCGAAATATGTATATAATAATAATAATTTTTTAATAAAAGCCTAATCATGTGATTTACAATGTAGATTGTGTTATATACGCGACAATATGCTACAAAAATAGAAAGATATTCAGCTCTTAACCAATTTTGGATATAATTCTTTGCACTTCTGCTTTTGATACATACTTCTGCGATTTCTGCGGTTTTCTGCTTGAAAATTGAAAAGAGCCTCACTAAAGGTCACCGCAAACTAGGTTTTGCAAATCATTCCCCAAGCAGAGAAAATTATTATTAAAATTAATATATATATATATATATTAAAATTAAAATTACTACCCCGCATATTAATATACATATAATGATCAGCGAGTACAAAAATAATAAACCAAAAGTGTTTTGCTATCAAATTTGGTATTTTTTCTGGCTGAAATATTAACAACGTATCAACTAAATCAATACCTAAATGATAGTGAGAAAAGCATGAAAATCGCAAAATATGTCAATAACTATATATTAATATTGAGATTCTGGTTATTGCTGTATGTGAATGCAAACTTCATATGCATTTTATTTTATGCATTCTTGGGCAACGTATCTTATCACTCGATTTATATTTTATTTCCAGAGGAATCTAATGGGTGGGTTGATTGTTACATTCTGATCGAGGTGTTGTTGGTTGATGACTACGTATTAGATTTGGTGTGGGTTTTTTTTTTATGATTACCAGATCAATCAGTAATTTTGATTTTTGTTTTTGTGCAACTTTGTGGATTTAATTTTACCAAATTGATCAACAATTCTCCATCGAAATCGTCAATTAAATCTTTTTGATCTCAAATATTTTTATTATTTAATAAATATAAATTTACAAAGGTTTTTTTTTACCCTTATTGCACTCCTTTTGCTTTCCTCTACCTATTTACTCCTATAGGACTGGTATCTCTCCTTATCAGGTAATGTCATGATACTGCTCGATCAATTATTTATGAATTTTTCTAAATTGGCTCTTTAAAAGAACCATAAAAATTTTTTTTGCATCTTTTAAGTTTTAGTGGCGATTTATCTGTTTAATTGCTTTAAATATTTAATTTAAATAATAAATATATATATAAAGTACTCATAGCCATAGCAACATTTACATTCATTTTTTTTATTTGTTAGTGAGAAATAACTTGAGATATAATGTCTAAAGATGACGATGCTCAATGTGCAGGTCAATGGGGTCCTAGACTTGCACCAAATCTGGATCCAAATCGCCAATGGGCAGCAGTTCGTCGTCGTTACGAATGGAACGACACATACGATGAAGGAATAGCTCCCAAAGACGAAGAATTGGAAAAAGAACTTTTTGGCGAAGATAATCATGTTCATTCTGGTATTAATTTTGCAAAATATGATAAAATTAAGGTGACGGTCAATCCGAGCATAAAACCTATTAGCACGGTAATTATTTATTCTCTTAAGATTTTTGGAAATATTTTTTTATGATTAATTAATCATTTATTCAATAACTAATTTATTATAGTTTGAAGAAGCAAAACTTCATCCAGCGATGAAGGATAATGTTAAATTGGCTAGATATGATATACCAACTCCAGTTCAAGTATAGACTTCTTATGTTTTAAATATTAATATTGAAAATTTTTTTTTTTAAATTTCAATTTTAATTTTTTTGTAAAAAAATCTTTTCACCAAAAAAGAAATATTCTATTCCAATAATTACTGAGGGATTAGATTTAATGGCATGTGCTCAAACTGGTATATATGTCTATTACTTGTAAAGAGAATGTAAATTTTTTTCTGCTTTAACAATTTGCAACAATTAAACAACACATATATATTGAATTAAATAGGCTCTGGCAAAACAGCTGCATTTTTGATTCCAATATTATCTCAAATGTTTACAGCTAAAAGAAGCTCAAGACAGTCTGGAAATACACGAAAATATAAAGCTGAACCGTTAATATTAATATTAGCTCCTACACGTGAATTGGCTACTCAAATATTTGATGAATGTCGTCGATTTACTTATAGAAGCATGATGAGACCATGGTATTTAGACTCTTAATATTTTTTCCTCCTGTAAAATCTATCAATACATGTGTGTGTATGCATGCATTTATACATAATTATCATTGTTAGTGTTGTGTATGGAGGTGCAGATTCTATTCCTCAAAAAGCTGAATTGGCTAAAGGTTGCGATATATTAACTGCCACACCTGGTAGACTAAATGATTTTATGGATCGTGGTGTACTAAGTCTTCGTAAAGTTAGGTAAATAACAATGATTTCTTTCTTTATAACTTTTTTTATTTTATTTTTAAAAAAATCAATTTATATAAACATTAATATTTATATTTATACACATATTCATAATGTGTAACTTATAAAAGATATCTCGTGATTGATGAAGCTGATCGTATGTTAGACATGGGTTTTGAAACAGATATTCGTAAAATTGTTCAAGAATCTGGTAATTACTTGTCAATATTAATCAATCAATCTTAAATGTTTAATTGCAAAAAATTTACCAATTTATTTTCTTCTTGCATGTCTTTGTTTAGACCTTCTTGATGATGGTTCAAGACAGACTATGATGTTTTCAGCCACTTTTCCATCAAATATTCAAAGTCTTGCAAAGGATTTTTTGAAAAATGATTACTTGTTCCTTACAGTTGGTAGACTTGGTGGAACAACAAGTGATATTACTCAAAAGGCAAATAAATAAATTATTATTATTAATTGTTATTATATTAGTTTTAATATTATTCAAAATTAAATTTCTTCCTCTTCCAAAATTAATAAAAATAATAGATAGTGTATGTTGATGATAAGGATAAACGTGCAAAACTTGTTGAGCTACTTATGAAACAACCACCATCTCGTACTCTGATCTTTGTTGAAACAAAACGTGGTGCAGATTCACTTGATGATTACTTGTATCATAAAAATTTTCCTACAACTAGTATTCATGGTGATAGATCACAACGCGAGAGAGAAGATGCTTTAATATCATTCAAGTAAGTATCTAAATAATTGTTTTCTTCTTATTTTGATTATAACAATATATTTAATGCTAAATATAATAGAAATGGCCGATCACCTATTTTAATTGCTACGGCTGTTGCTGCACGTGGTCTTGACATAAAAAATGTAATGCATGTCATAAATTATGATCTATGTAAAGATATTGATGAATATGTTCACCGAATCGGAAGGTTTGTGTTTGTCGATTTTATTCATAAATAAATTTATAAATGTTATTAAATTTTTTTCACCTCTCAACTAAATAGGACTGCACGTGTTGGTAATGAAGGATTGGCAACAACTTTTTACAATGAAAAAAATTCTGATGTTGCTAGTGATTTAGTTAAATTATTGTTGGAATGTAAACAAGAAGTTCCTAGTTTTTTAAAATCATACTTGCCTGATAATAAGTAAGCATTTAAAATATAATTATGTAAATAAGTAATCTTCTTTTTTATTATCCCACAGCAACTCCTGACATATTTATATAATAATAATATAGTAATTTTGGTGATGATGCAGATTTTGATAATAAAAGAGGCGGAGGAAGTAGTGACTACAGAAATCAAAATAACAAATATGCTAATAATGATTCATCAGGAGGTGTAACATCAAGTAACTGGGATGCTCATAACAACAATAACACTAGTAACATATGGGATAATACACAACAAAAAGACATAATAAATGACACATCAGCATCAACAGCATGGGATCCTAGTAAAACTCCATGGGATGGTGGTAATACTACCATTCAAACTCAGCAACAATTTCCTCCATCATCATTACCACAACAACCTTCTCATCAAGCACCATTGCCACCACTAACACAACAACAATATCAACATCCACCACAATATCAGCACTCATCACAAGTTAGTAATGATAATTGGTCAACAACTCCTCCTCCTCCTACTACTACTACTGCAACTCCAATTCCTCAACAACCAGCATTTCAACAGCAACCAACATTTCAACAACAACTTCCTCCTCCTAACCTTCAGTCTTTTCCTCCACAATCTTTTCCTCCACAACAACAAAATCCTTTACAACCACCACCACAACCTCAATATATTCATTCACAATTTACTCCTCAACCTCCATATAGTAGTCCGCAACCATTACAACCACAACAACCTGTTATTCAACAATATGGCAGCAGTGCACCACCACCTCAACCATCATTGATTGGTCAACAACCTAATCCTAATAATAATTATAACCAAATTCCTCCTCCACAACACCAAAACTATGGTTATAATTCACAATCTATACCACCACAACCACAAACCCATTCTTATCAACAAATGTCACAACCACAACAATTATCACAACAATTACCACAACAATTACCACAACAATTACCACAACAATTACCACAACCACCACAACCATTTGGTAATTATGGTGCTAGTCCTTCTAATAATAATTATAATTATTGAGACAGTTGAAAAAAAAACCAAATAGATTAAAAAAATAATAATTATTATTATTGTTATTATAGTTGTGAATTTTTTTGTTAATGATTATTTGGATATTTTATATACATGTTATACATATACACATATTTTATTTTATTATTATTATTAATAGTAGTAGTATTATTGTGACATTTATATTCTTAAATTATTATTATTATTATCTAAAATTTATCAATATTTATTACTATTAGTATGTTATCTATCCTCCCTTTTTTATTATTTTTTTTCTAATTTACATATTGGCAACAAATTATTTTTTAAAAAAATATAAATAAAAACATAAATTTATATTTGATAACTTTGACCAAGTGGTTAAATTAATTCTTTTAAATATCTTTCATTATATATATATGAATAATTGCTGCTAATATTACGTTACCCGAGTAACTGGATCAGAGCTCAGCCCCATACAGCTAGCTGATGGCCGTGTATTGCTACATTGGTTGGCTAACCATAGCTAAAAAAAAAGCAACCCGACTACACTATACCATAACTATGGGCAGACAGATCGTTACTTCCACCTCTAGCAAAAGATTCTGGATGGTCTTATCCATGCCCATTCAAGTATAAAAGGCCATTACGAAATGTTTCTAGCAGCGATTATGACACGGTTCCAAGTATCTAGCAAAGAACACGCGATAAGCAATCAACAAAACAAAAAAAAAAAGAACATTTTTACCAACGAGCATATATATATGTCTGCATGTTTTGAGCTACCAACTCGTGGTGCCATTTCCTAACTACCCATTACATTTGGAGCACACTATGCTTGTTTGAAATTCGTCATATTTTCTGATTCAACAAACATTCAGCAGCCTCTGATACAATTCCTTTATTGGCCCTAGTGCATGGCTTCAATTGAAAGAGTAAAGTTTAAAATAAATTAGATTTGGATATATAATTGGATGTGATTAAAATGAGTGGACGTAATATGTTAATGTGATTAAAATGTTTGATAATGATTTAATAAAGTATAATGATAAATATTTAGTTATATGGTAAAATAACGTTCTTTAAAACTTGTGAAATAAAATATTAAAATGATGATGAATACAAATAAATCAGTGAAGTTATATATATATATATATATATATTATAATATATATAGTATAAACATTCTCATTAAGAGAAGGTATTAATCATAGAAATCTCTTCTCATATATAGTAGAGAAGGTAATCATCAAAAAAATGACGTTATTAAAAAGATCATTAAACATGTTAACATGTTGTAAAGATATAAAAAAAGGAAAAATAGTATAGATTCATTATTATTAAACAATATTAAACAATGAAACCTACCTTTTTAACTGTATAATTATTATTATACGATGTTTCCATTTCTTACTTGCCCTTGTAAATTCAGTCATTGCATACCATTCTTTTTGTATTACATTTTCATCAAGATTCCTTTTTTCATCCCCAAATATACCACCAGCTTTGTCCCTTCCAGGATCAACCCATAAATCGATCAACCAGTTGAATGTACAAAGACCATGATTATCAAACATATAATCACTTACTCCGTATGATGCATTCATTCATTGGATTTGTGAGTATAACGCTAACACTATTAAATCCATCCGCCATCAAACTTTATAAAATTCAATGTTGGGATTGTATTACGTGTCGAAAATTATCCAATCAAATTAGTATTTTCTGCAGATGGTCTCTAAATTTGTATATACTGCTCTCAAAAATCATTTATTAACGCGTGGTCCAAACTAGTAAAAGTTAATTACTCGCATAAATTATGGAGACTATGTGCTCCAATGTGAATAAACCTTGATGAAATCCAGCAAGTAGCACACAAGTGTGTAAGGTCGCAACTCGCATCTTTTTTTCCGTGTCTCCTTCCCTTACTTGCGTATCCACTACGTGGTTTTTCACAAACATCTTTAAAATCTTATATACAATAAAAGAAGATAGTATTTTCATCAGTAATTTTTTACAGCATTATTAGTCATCAAAAATCATATCTCGGAGCTTACTATCAATGTGCTGTTCACAAAGTTCCGTGACTATAACCTGACAATTGATAGCGTATTCAAGTGCAGCTGAGGAAATGATGTTGGCAAGAAAACCAATGATGATGCTTGAAAGAAAGTTAGTAAAACAAAATAAAAGAAAAAATTTGCATAACCTAGGATAATTCATGTGGCCATCAAGACATATAAAAATGTGAATAAATTAGACGCTTTTGAAGAAATCCAGGCAGGCTGTCTTCATAATGGCAGCCTGCTGTAAAAACCTTCCAAGTAAAATGTTTGTAACCAAGGCGGTGGATTGGTATTTAATTCTCACAACAAATGTTTGTGTAAGTCGTGTTGCTTATAAGTCATTCTCTCTGCGACATTCTCAATAATAGGACCAAGAGCAGAAATTCCACATATCTTTGCATTGGTAGTTGGTTGCAATTTTATCATTTACTTGGTTTATGCCCTAGGAATTGCTTAGATATTGATCGTAAATATCCTACCTGGCAACATGCTTGATTTATTGTTGCCTATGCAATGAATCTATGCTAATACCGAAGAAAATCTATTTTTTAAAATTTGATATTTTAAATTTTCAATATTATTATTTTTTTTTTGATGCTTTACATTGAGATGAAACAAAGACTTGGAAATAGCTTCAATCAACAATACATTGATCACCCTCTACATCCTTTTATAAAAAATAAACACAAATTCACAAGCTATAATTAAATGGTAAACACAACCAACCTATCATCTTGTTAAACAAATTCCATCATTTACTAATATAGAATTTTGTTTAAATTTCACAATTTTATCATAATAAATAAACATATTCATATTTCCAATTAATATGTTTTAAATAAAGCTCTGAACAGTTCAGTTCGGTTTACATTTGACTCGAAAATTTTAGACATTCTAAACTCATTAACTACACAAAAATATACACCACTTCGTAAATAACTTGTAGCTCAGTTTGGCAAATGTATGTTGCGAAATAGAGATTCTGGAAGGATCCTGTTTCTAACTACATACATAGTATGTAATTTTTATACATAATAGCAAAGGTCCAAATTAGAATGAAGATCATGATTGAATACATTTTAGTATTGGTATTAGAGTCTCTATTTGAATTATTTCGTAATACAACTCAATCTTAGTATTAATTCTAACTATTCGTTTTATTCGCTTTATTCAAAATTCATTTTGTTTGAGATATTCATTTTTATTTGAATTATTCGTTTTATAAACTTTCAATGTAATTTGAATATTCAAATTCATAATGAATAAAACAAACAATTAGAATAAATCTTATTTGAATAGAAACTCTAATGATGTTCTATTTTTTTTTCAATTCAAATTTACTTAAATCTAATGTATCTGTAGTTTCTTTTGTGTGAAGATTGAAATAATGATGTCCCCATATGTTTCAAGGAAGCTGATGGCTAATTTGTAATTCGTGTAAATGGAAAGGATCCGGTATACATTAATATTAATATTAATACTATTAATATAGTAAATGCAGGAATAATAATAAGAAAATTAATTAACCTGAATCAGTTTTTAGTTATCCTACTTTAATTGTGAAATCTTATTCCAGTAAATGAGATAAAGCCACATTCACATTATGGGATAAATGCAAGAGAATGGAGAGTAAAAGTGAAGTATAACTAAATTGATTTACTACCTATTGAAGTTTTGAAGTATTGTAATTAGTAAACTATCATATGTTTTGCTTTAGTATTATTGTATTTAAAAAATATAATAGTTTATCAAAAGATAATATGACAATTGATTTATAATGAGTAGACATGATTTTATGAATTATAGAGCGATCCCAAGATACAAGCTCATTATTGGGAATATGGAGTCACGAACACACAATTAAACAAACCCTTGCTAGATACAGTGTATTACAAAGATGTCAAATTAAACAAGAATATTCAAAATGGACACCAAAGCTATTTTGAATATGCGAATGTGAATAAATTGCCCTCAGCAGAAAACGCCTGATGGGTATATTTGATAACCAGCTAATTTATCTACATGAGCATCAGAAATTGTACTCAATTTCTTCCTGGACTAATCCATGATATAATGAGAAGTTCTCCACTATACTAAAGCTGCAATACTCTGATTTTATTAGTATATAAATCTTCATCTATAATTTGCTTTTTTTGCTGAAAAGCTCTTAGATTTCTTTCTATAAATCTTCAATTCAGATGCTTCACTGCCATCAACCTATTTTTTTTTTTATATTAAATGCAAGAATTGATAATAAAGTTTAGCACACTCTTAAAACTGTGAGGTCTATTTTTTTGTGGAGGTTAAGAGCTCTTATGATTTGATGACTAATGGAACATATGACTAACAAGTAAAATTATAATTCATAACCATTATTAAGTGTGTGCCTACATTGGTTGTTATAATAAGTTTATTAGATTAGAAATTAATAAATTTAATTCTAAATAAGCAGAGTGTAAAATTAGAACATCAGAGGCCGCCAAGTAGTTTTTAGCCTAAAGCTCTGAACTGTTCAGAGCTTTGGTTTTAGATAATTGATGGTTAAGAAAATTTCTTTTAAATAATATTATTCAAAATTATTATGCTAGACCTGAATTAAACATTTCTATTTGAAAGATTAGAGTTTAAGTTTAAACCATATTCATTGCAGAATATCTTGCTGCTTGAAGTGTCATGATCAGAAAAATTGATATTAAAAATTTTGAGGTAGGTGTTTGGATATGAAATTCTGTTTGGCTAATTTGACTTTCATGTATGTGTTAAGAAGAATTACTTTTGTTTCTAAGGATGGACGTTTTGAGAAAACATTGCTTTTAGTAATGAAAATAAAAACTCAAAGTAGGGAGAGGAAAAAAGATTTCTCCGACTCTCCATATCCTTGAATCGCAAAACTTTATTTTATTTTAGCGACAAGACATGGCTAGTTGATAACAGTAATAGTGTTGTTCTGCATCTCTCATAAAT